CCCGTGGACCAGAACCCTAGGCTGCTCACACTGGAGGTTCCTGGGGTGACTGAGAGCTGCCCCTCAGTACTACAGGGTGACCACCTGTTTGACCTTTTGTCCTCTGAGACACACCAGGAAGACTCTGTCATCTACAAGGGCTTTGTGCACAAGGTGGAACTGGACCGTGTCAAGCTGAGTTTTTCTAATAGCCTCCTGAGCCGCTTTGTGGATGGGCGGACCTTCAAAGTGAACTTCACATTCAACCGCCACCCCTGCGGGTCCAGCACCAGGCCCTGGAGCTGACAGGGCATTGGCCATTGTGGCCCATGCTTTTTCCTGTGACCTCCCCTGGGGTCCCGCTGCTGCCCCCTGATGTGAAGCTCAAGCTGTACAATCGGAGTCTGGAATCGAACCCAGAGCAGCTACAGGCCATGAAGCACATTGTTTTGGGCACCACCCGGCCTGCCCCCTACATTATCTTTGGGTCCCCAGGTACCAGACTGTCACATTAGTGGAGGCCATTAAGCAGGTGGTGAAGCACTTGCCTAAAGCCCACATCCTGGCCTGTGCTCCATCCAACTCTGGGGCTGACCTCTGCCAGCAGCTCCGTGTCCACCTGCCCAGCTCCATCTACCGCCTCCTGGCCCCCAGCAGGGATATACGCATGGTGCCTGAGGACATTAAGCCCTGCTGTAACTGGGATGCTAAGAAGGGAGAATATGTGTTTCCCGCCAAGAAGCAGCTGCAGGGATATCGGGTCTTAATTACCACCCTCATCACTGCCAGCAGGCTGGTGTCTGCCCAGTTTCCTATCGATCACTTCACACACATCTTCATCGATGAAGCTGGCCACTGCATGGAGCCTGAGAGTTTGGTGGCCATAGCAGGACTGATGGAAGTCAAGGAAACAGGCAACCCAGGAGGGCAGCTGGTGCTGGCAGGAGACCCTCGGCAGCTGGGGCCTGTGCTGCGGTCCCCATTGGCACAGAAGCATGGCTTGGGGTACTCACTTATGGAGCGACTGCTCACCTATAACACCCTGTACAAGAAGGGCCCCAACGGCTATGACCCCCAGTTCATTACCGAACTACTACACAACTACAGGTCTCATCCCACCATCCTGGACATTCCTAACAAGCTGTACTAAGACGGGGAGCTGCAGGCCTGTGCAGACGTGGTGGATCGAGAGTGCTTCTGCCGCTGGGAGGGTCTGCCTTGCCAGGGCTTTCCCATCATCTTTCATGGCGTAATGGGCAAAGATGAGCGTGAGGGCAACAGCCCATCTTTCTGCAACCCCGAACAGGCTGCCACGGTGACTTCCTACTTGAAACTGCTCCTGGCCCCTTTCTCCAAGAAGGGCAAAGCCCGCCTGAGCCCTCGAAGTGTGGGCGTCATCTCCCCATACCCGAAGCAGGTGGAAAAAATCCGCCACTGTATTACCAAACTTGACAGGGAGCTGCAAGGACTGGATGGTATCAAGGACTTGAAGGTGGGCTCCGTGGAAGAATTCCAAGGGCAAGAACGAAGCGTCGTCCTCATCTCCACCGTGAGAAGCAGCCAGGGCTTTGTACAGCTGGACCTGGACTTTAACCTGGGTTTTCTTAAGGACCCCAAGAGGTTCAACGTAGCAGTGACCCGGACCAAGGCTCTGCTCATTGTAGTGGGCAACCCCCTTCTCCTGGGCCAGGACCCTGACTGGAAAACATTCCTGGAGTTCTGTAAAGAAAACGTGGGGTACACCGGGTGCCCCTTTCCTGCCAAACTGGACCTCCAGCAGGAACAGAACTCCCTCCTAGGTCTCAGCAAGCTCAGCCCCTCTACCTCAGGACCCCACGGTCGTGACTACCTCCCCCAGGAGAGAGAGGGTGAAGGGAGAGTGTGCCTGCAAGTGGAACCAGAGTGGAGGAATGAGTTGTGAAGACACAGCTGCCTGCCTGAGTCCTCAAGCCAGCCAAGCCTTAACTGCTGCTCATCCCTGTGCAGAACCCAGCCCAGCTGCCCCTGTGAGGGACAGGAAGGCCAGCTGGGAAGGGAGTTTACAACCCAAGCCATTTCTTCCCTATCCCTGCTGGGGAGAATAACACACTGAGCTGCTAACAATTGGGGGGATGGAGAAGGAAGAAAAACTCTGAAAACAAAAAAAAAAAAAAAAAAAAGGAAGGATTGTTTTGTGGGATAGACAAGTCTTGGTTGGTAATTATTTTCTTTTAAGGCCTTAAATATATCTTTCCATGACCTCTTTGTATTTAGAGTTTGCATTGAGACCTCTGCTGTTATTTTAATAAGTTTGCCTTTATATGTGACCTGTCACTTCTCTTTTGTAGCTTTCTATATTCTTTCTTTGTTCTATATATTGAGTGTTTTGATTATGATATATGTGGGAGGGAGTTCTTTTCTGGTCTTGCTGGCTTGGTACTCATCTGTATCTATAGATGTCCCACACTTTCTCAAGATTGAGGAAATTTTCTATTTATAGGAAATTGTCTATTATGATATCTAATAAGTTATCAATGCCTTTCATTTGCATCTCTTCCCCTTCTTCTATGCCCATGATTCATAGATTTGGTATTTTGATAGTGTCTCTGAGTCTTGCATATTCCATTCATACTTTCTTAGCATTTTTTTCATGGTCTTTGACTGACTGACTTAATTACTCTACTTGATCTTCTGTTTCTGGTACTCTATATTCAACTTGGGCCACTCTTTTAGCCAAACTTCCATTGAGGTTTTTATTTGGGGTATTGATTTCAAATTGATTATTTTCAAGATTTCTATATCTTTATTGATTTCTTCTTTCATATTTTGCATTGGCTTTCTTATTTCATTCATCTGTTTGGATTCTCTTTGAGCTCAACTAGTTGTTTATTCATAGTCTCTTTGAGTTCAGTCCCTAACTCATGTGTCTCCTTTTTGAGTTCATTGATCATTCTTACTATTTTTTAAATTCAATGATTGATATTTACTCCTCTTTGCTATTGTTTAAGTTCTTCCTGGTGGAGTTGGCATTTGAGGGAGAGCTGTTGTCTTGTTGTTTTGTGTTTCTTCATTGAGATTCATACATCTGGGGCCATTTTTGGTTAGAAGTTCCAATGCCATATATTCCTTTAGTTGGGATTTCTGAAAGATTATTTAGGACTGGGTAGCTGGTGAGTTCTGGTGTGTTTTTTGTCTCTAGATGTGGGGTGGGGTGTGCCTCAATATTCAACCCCAGCTTCTTGTTCTCAAGGTGCTGGGTACCACTATCTATTCCACACAAGGAGAGGAAGTTTAGCGCTAAAGCTATCACAGTTACTAAGCTACAGCCTTGAAATTACATCAATTCCTAAAGAAAATCAATGACTGCAACTGTTCCAGTATCTATAGTTGTCTATTGGAGCAAAAATGAGTCTTCATGGTACTGGAGGACTAAAGGTAATAATGAAAGTAATGGAAGGAAGATGGGGAGGATGATAATCTAGTAAATAAAATGTAGTGTAAAGTTTTATGTGGTAAGAGGAGGTGTGGCTGTGCAAATGGTTGTTAATGAAAAAGTAGTCTGGGATAGTTAGAAGAGATTTAGTTTATATCAAGAGAGGAGAAAGAAAAATGGAGAATATTGAACAGATAGATAAATATAAACACAAGACTGCAAAAATAATCTAGGAATATATTCACCTACTAAAAGTATTGGTAGCAAAGGAGGATTATGGATGAGTAAAGAAAACAGGGAAAATATGAGCTAAAAAGCAGCTGTGTTTGTTGATAGGAGGAAAGTATGAATGGAGAAGGGCAATAGGAAAGGGGAAGAGAAGAAATGGTTTAAGGTTACACATAGGATGGCAGGCTATTGGACTCATATGGTGACTACAGAGAAGGGGAAGGAGGGAAGACAGACTGAAGAGAAAATGGGGGAGAGAGAATGCAAAACTGCTTTGCTGGAATGTACAAAGAAAATACAAACAAACATTAAAAAGCTGTACATCCCAAACTTAACAGTGACCAAATCAACATAAAAATTTTAAATTTTCTAGTGTTCTGAGCTACTGACTTATTTCTCCCCTTTTTATCTGCCTTGGTCTTTCAGTCCACTAGATGGCACTGTAAATGAATACCTGTCTCTGGAATGGTGTCTGTTGACAGCCAGGAGTTCCTTCTTTAGTGAAGGTGGGGAGGGGAAGTGTTTGAAGATCTAAATACAATCTCTGGTGAAGACTTCTAGAGTCTGGATTGTAAAACTTGCCAGTCTTACACCATCACTTCTTGTAGCTTTCCCCTCTTTCAAGCTCCCCAGCACTTACAGACTGTAGTTATATACTGGAAGCAGACTTTTATCATTTATGTCCTCACTGACATAAGTCTCTGCAGGGGGACTGTAAGCCCAACCTGGCAGTGCCTGTTTTCTCTACCACATTAGAGACTTTGCATTAGGCCTAGTACTAAAGCCTGTTATTGTAGATGTTGGCTGTTGTCACCTCCACCAGTGCTGCCACCACTGCTGCTACTGCTGCTACCATGCTCCAAGCAACTTCTTTATTCTGAGACATGCCACACCTATTTGGGACGCCACTTCTACTCTATGGTTCTCAGCAGCTTTCCTGTAGCAAGTCACATACTGAAAAGGTTCTCTTCACTTTTGGGGTGAAGATTTTGTCTTCCCCTTTCCCTTAGGGGCGCTGGTGCTGGAGAAGGTGAAAACTATTTCTTCATTCACTCTGTAGGTTCTTTCTTTCCCTGTATTTTTCAGCTGGTTCACAGTGCTTTTCCTTTTTCTCCTCTGTGAGAGGACTCTTCTTTGTTATCTAGGTTCTTATCCACAGGGTCAGATGGCAAAAGCTTCTTGCCTTATCTCCAATGTGTTTCAATATTATTCACTGTGTATCATTCTCTTTTCCTTTCCCTTCTCCCCCTATACTCCTCAAATTGTCCCACTAGTGGATACTTATTTTATATATATATATAATCATGCTTGTATTTGTGTATACATTTATGAAATGATTATTTTTATAACTATTAAGTCAAATACTGAGTGAATGTGGTATATATGCATATTTCAAGAAATAAAGAATGGAATTTTCAAAATATCTGGTAGCTGTGCTATTTTCCATTGATCAAAAAATTGCTGCCTCATAAAAAGGCACAGCAGGAACTGAGCTGTGGCTGTAGAGTTTCTCATGAATTGCCTAGTTGATAAAAGCCTGTACAAGAGACAAACCCACACTTAGCTGTAATTGCTTTTACCATTTTATTCAAGGTATTAACTAAAAAACACATAGCCTCCAACTTACTTCTTCAATGGTTAAACTAAAATGCCAGCTAAGTCTTGTTCACTTCTAAAATGTATTGATACAATCTAGTAAAGAGGAGATGACAGAAAAAGAAAGGTCAACAATGTGAAGTGCACTAATATTGCTTTTTATTTCATGAAATCCAAATTATTTATAAGCATCAATTTTAGGAACATTTTACAAAGGCATTTTTATAAAGGCAACAAGAAATGCAAAATACACAAATCTACACTCACAAATAGCTACCACCGGAAGATTTGAAGTATCTCAGGAAAAGATTAAAATATTCTTTGACTAGCGGAGATACTGGGGAACAATGCACACTAAAAAGAAAATACACATTAAAAGCAAAACAGTGTACATCTGCTTCTCAAAATCTAAACGACATGAGTTTATGAAGTATGAAAGGTTACTCTTTGTTGCTGGGTCTACCCTTGAGTGTTCTTCAGTCATTCGCCTTTCAATGCAGAGTTTAACTCTACACCCATATCTCTGAATTCTGTTCATTTCTTAGTCAAATAAAAATCTAAACCAGGATAAGAGATAAAGCTATTTCACTCCCAGGAGAAATGGAGGAGGTGTTGCCATGGAAAGGCCTCTGGTTCCTAGATTCCCTGACCAATATAAGCCACTTTAAAAGTCTACTCTGATATTTCAAAGTTTTATAAAGGGAATGTTGTATAACCCTGGACTTCATTTTAGTTATTCCTTACAGAGCAGAGAAATGGGCTCCTTCATCTAAAACAAAAAGACAGACAGATACACACACACCCCCACACACCCTACAATGTCTGTTCCTAGCTAATGACATAAATGATTTTGGGAAGTGAATCAGGACTATTGCTCACTGATCAAAAAGGCCACACTGCAAAGTGTTTGATTTTTTATCCTAATCTCTAACTTTGATAAATTAGAGTAGATAGTAATTAGCTTTAACTTTTGAAAACATTTAGCCTGGATAAAACATACATCTTTATAAAGTAAACAACTTATATATTTTCTCTTTTAAAAAAACATAGCTTTGACATGCTTCTGATGCCCTTAAAAATTTGTAGACAGATACCACAGTTGTATCTCAAAGTGTGACTTGGGGGCTACTGAAATATTACATGTTCTTTTGCTGGCAAAATGTCAGACCAGTTGCTTACTCAATACAATGGTTTTCTCAGATTTTAACCATGCATCATGTTTTAACATGGTGGATTTGTTAAAACACAGAACACTGGGTCCTGCCCCCAGCATTTCTGACTCAGTTTGCTGAAGTAAGGCTTGAGGAAGGGCACCACATTGAGAACCACTGCTTTAAACTATTCTTTTTAATGCTCTTTAAACAGCAATGTAATATTTTTCCTTTTTCTAAAACAATAATGCCCAGTCATCAAAAGAGCTCTGAACACTATTTTCTTAGCATTTTAGGTTTTTGCATGGGACTGGGAATATTTCCTAATTGTCATCAGAAGAGCTGTAACCTATGAAGTACTCCTCCCCAGGACAGGATCCCTGTTCTGGGGGACGAAAGCCACTGCTACATATCTCTACCCAGGATATCTATCTCATCCAGGAGGAAGTCCATATCCTCCCGGCTCACTTGAGGGCTGATCACCACCTGGCGGAAGAAGTTGACCTTCCCCTGATGGGGCTGATATCCCAGCATGAGACTTCCCTTCTTCATCATCCTCTCCTTAATGGCTGGGGCTACCTGCAAAGGGAGAGGAGACGGAGGTGAAAGAGCAGAATACCGAAGCACTCAACTGGTTTTCAATTAGCCATCCATGGGTTGGGAGCACATTCTCATAGGCACAAAGTTGCACTATAATGATAACAATTTATTGAGAATCTTATGGCATATGAATACTGATCCAAGTATTCTAGACATATTAGTTCATTGAATCTTCATATCAACACCATGAAGGAGATACTACCAACATGCCCACATGCAAACAATGAAATTCAGGCACATGAAGACTAAATAACAATCACTAGGTCCCAGGCTCTGAAATGTAAATGACAATGCAACACTGCCTTGTAAAAAGCAAATTATGGGGCTTCAGGCATCACAGTATTGAAAGCATCAAACGTTCTATTTCTCAATTTGTCTTGATGACAAAATACTCCAGTTAAGGCCTTGTGAATACAGAATAGTGATAGATGGAAAAAAGAAACTTGCAGTTGTCTACCAAAGAAAAACTAATACAGGTCTAATGTACAGTTTTCTTTTGAAGATTAACAATTATTAATTTATTAATAAGAACCTGTATGTTTCTGTAATTATTGTGCTTTGAAAGTCCTTGGTTAATGTAAAGGATTTAGAAGAAAATGACAGTTTAATATTATTCTTATATGTGAAATACAAGCACCCTGTCTTTTACAACATGTGTAAATGTGATGATAAAATTAGGAAGCTCATAGTTTAAGAATGAGGATTTGCAGTTGACATGAGAATTATTGACCCTGATTATAAAAATGCACAAATTTTTTAAAAAGTTTAACATTGGAATAAATTAGTTCATTTAAGAACCACATGGGGAAATCAGACCATTTTTAAGTCAGTGGTATGACCACCTAAGGGCCAGGTTGCAAACTTTTAAGATAGTGAGATTTTGAAACACAAAGCTACAAAGTCAAGAATGCATTCTTACTGGCTTAAAAACATAAGCAATGATTTCTCATTTGAATTTTATTTTAACTCTGAGCATCTCTTACTTGAATATGTGGAAAGGGATCATCATGAATTTCTGCCCTTATCTTCTCAGAAAGATGAGGCTCAGATCACTCAGAAGGGAAGAATAAGTACATAAGTACCACCATGTACAATGTGCATGAATCTCAGTTCCTGGAAATTTCAGTTCTCCTTCTCATAGTATGACCATCACAGACATTCTGGGTTTTAAATATACCCATGTTTTGTCAGAGCTTCATGAAGGCAGAACAAGCTACTTCATCCTACATTCAGCACCATCTTGGTCTGCTCCAAAGATGATGGGAAAAATCAGTGTTTGAGACATCCGACATATTGTGTTGAATGCAGTCACAGAGCCTTCTCAAGTAATACTTCAGAGCAATTTTAATAACACATTTTCCATGTACATGCTAGTTCTAGAATCTAAGTCTTATGAAACATAAACTACACTGTGTCTACATCAACAAAAACAAACATCTATTCAATGGAGGTTTCTTACAATAGAGCAAACCATGAAAGAAAATATATGGGTATAAAAAAAAGATAGAAAAAAGAAGATGAAATTAGAGGTCAAATGAGTGAAATAATGTGAACCATCAGGTTATATAAATTTCTGAAAATATGCCACACATTTTATTTTGAGCCTTCTAGAAATTGGGAACATAGGTTAATTGCCACTCTTCTTGCAAAAGTTTGCGACAAATGATGGTGGCTGCTGAAATCTGGGAGCTAGAAGGACACCTACCTTGTTTAGCCTTATCTGTTTGAAGCCCTTTTCTGTTTGAATGTAGATATACCAGCTGTATTTTCTCCCAAAACTGATTATGCAAGTAGCCTTTGTTACTAGAATTATGCAAAATCTAGAGAAATAATATGTAAGCCCACAAAATATGAGTGTAAATAGAGAGTGGTTTCCATGAAAACTAAACTTCATCCTTTTAAAAGATTAGGTAAAAAGTGCATGGCTAAACATTATTGCTAGAAAATTAGGTGTTGAAAGAGAAAATAAAGCTATAAAACCAAAATCTTGAGAGTCTGGACTGATTCTACATTCAGATTGCCACACAAGTGTCTGAGTACTCACTCCATCTGAAAAAATCTGAGATGGATGCAACAGATGATTCTATTTTTTTGAAAAAGTTTAAAAATTATCTTAAAATTTTTGATTTAGGATTCATTAATAATACAAAGGGATTTCATTGTGATAGTTCCATACGTGTATACAGTGTACCTTGAACAAGTTCACCCCTTCCTTTGTTTTCCCACTGTCCCTCTCCAGTTTCCCCACTTTCAAATAGTGTTTGCTGGATTTCATTAGCAATATTCATATTTATATATGTAGCATACTTCGATCCTCTTCACTTTCCTTCCCCCCATCACTGATCTGCCCGAGACAGCTCCCCATCATCATCATCGTCGTCGTTCCAAGTTCCACCAATGAGTGAGAACGTGCAGTATTTGGCCTTTTGAGCTTGGCTTATCTTGCTCAGCATGATTATCTCAGTTCATCCATCTTCCAACCAATGACATAGCTCCATTCTTCTTATGGCTAAATAATATTTCATGGTGTGTGTGTGCAGTGTGTATATATATACACATACACACGCACACACACATATATATATATACAGACATACACACACCATACTTTATTCATTCATCAGTTGCTAGGACTTCAGCTGATTTCACAGTTTGGTTTTTGTGAAGAGAGCTTCAATAAACATGGGTGTGAAGGTATCTCCTTTGTATATTCATTTGCACTCACTCAGATATATGCCCAAGAGTATGGTGAGATCATAAGGGAAGTCTAGTGTTAGTTTTTTGAGCAACCTCCATACTGATTTCCATAGTGGTTGTACTAGTTTACATTTCTACCAACAGTATATGAGGGTTCCTTTTTCCCCACATCCTCACCAGCCTTTGTTGTCATTTGCCATTTTGACTGGAATGAAATGGAATCTTCCTGTAGTTTTGATCTGCATTTCCTTTATGGCTAAGGATATTGACATTGTTTCATATATTTATTAGCCATTTGTACCTCTTCTAGAACTGTCTGTTCAATTCATTTGCCCATTTATTAATTGGATTATTTGTTCTTCTGCCATTTAGTTTTTTGAGATCAATGTATATTCTGGATATTAATCCCCGATCTGTTGAATTGGTGGGAAAAATTTTTTCCCATTTTTTGGTTATTTCTTGACCTCATAACTGTTTCTTTTGATGTTCACAAACTTTTTAATTTTATGCAATCCCATTTGTCAAGTCTTACTCTTATTTCCTGGGCAATTAGAGTCCTATTCAAAAAATCACCTATGCCTATATCTTCCAGGGTTTTCCCTACTTTTTCCTATAGTAGTTTCAATGTTTCAGGTATTACATTAAGATTTTTGATCCATTTAGAGTTGATATTTGTACAGGGTAAGAAATAAGGTTCTAGTTTCAGTCTTCTGCATGTAGCTAGCCAGTTTTCCCAGCAGGTACTGGGGTTTGAACTCAGGGTCTCACACTTGCTAGACAGGTGCTCTAACTCTGAGCCATACCCCCAGCCCAAAAGATGATTCTTGAAGAGTGCAGTTTATATAAGAATTAGATAGCAGGTCCTCCAATCATCAGACCTTTACACAAGAGAGACTGTTTGTTTTTGGAAAATGTTTGGAAATTCTCATTTGGTGGAAAAATCATTTCCATCAAAAGATAGGGAAATGAATGTATATAGTTGTACAATATAATGGAAAATATTTAAGTGTAAAATACAAATATTAAATATAAAAATTAAGTTATATATGCATTACATTTTTCTAGGATTATATGTTTTAACTATTAATCTTCATCATCTTGAGCAGGGGGCTTCTGGTGCACATGTGAACACACATGGATGTGCGTGTGTGTGTGTGTGTGTATATGAGCTTGTGCTCTCACAGGTAATAAACTTCTAATCTGTCGTATGTCATTTCCTCTTTATTTCTCCTCATTTGGTGACAGGGCAATACAGAAACATGGTCTGACTTAGGCTCACAAAGGCACATTTATTTTTAATTCCAAGAGGAAGTGGCCTCTGGCTTCCTTAATGTAAACTGACTAAAAGGAAAAACCCACAATAGTACCAGTGATAATCAGTATTGGGAAGACCTGAGTCACATGGGCCATATATGTGACCAGGAGGGCCATAAATTATGAATTTTAGAGCTTACAGCTTGTGATCCTATAGACATTTTTAAAATAAGGATTCCCTTCATATACCTCTCCATCATCCTCCAGTTACTGACAGGGTATAGACAGCTCTGAATTATAGACAATTTTAAACTTAAGACAGCATGTCCTTGGCTTAAACCTAATTTGCATAGTTTGTTCCTATTTACTTTTCAATGCTACTGTTTTTCTCCCGAAAGGGGAGGGGTATTTTATGCCTCACCTTTGGAAAGAATTAGAATTTTGATTTCAACTTATAAAGTATCCTAGAAACAAACAAAACAATTATAAAAATGAATCTGTCAGGTTTGCATTTCTTGTGAGCAAACCAGAAATATTTTTTAATGTAAGGAAGATAAAAAAGAACACTACAGATGCTTTAATAAAAAGATATTTTTGATATTTAAATTCTTGCTCTTGTGTAAGGTATAAAACTGTGCTTCTTCTGGCAAAAGCACATGACAAAAGAACCAGACTTCTATGCTAAATTTTGTCACTGGCTTTCAGGGATTATAAAGAAAGAATTAAATATCTCTGTGACTCAGAGAACTAGCTAAGCAAGGGTTTGACAGTACAACAGGCATTTTCTCAATGTGTCCATGAACTAGAGGTACTGTCAAGCAAACAGGGATGGTCTCTTTTGTCTATAAACAATTCATGATAAAGAAAGCCATGGGCTTCCCTACACTGGTACTCATCAAATCTCTATCACAAATTGTCACTGTTGTAATAGCAGTAATTATTGTTAACACATATTTTGCCAGTCCTTTACAATTTGTAGTGTTATTTCACATGCCTTACTCCCATAAAGTTAAATTAAATCTCATTTG